TTTTTTCTTCTTGGTTTTGTCGCACATTCATCATAAAATTTTCATTATTGCTGCACTCAATTACTTATAAAATATAAGGAATATTTACATGCATATCACTCAATTCCTATTTATTTAAAGAACCAACACATGAACTTCAATGTTTATATACTTACCACCCTATTCATGTATGAAATTGGAAGATTTTTTATGTGATATGAAATTGGGTGGTATAAATATGAAGAAAAAAAGTTCAGGTGTTCCATGTGTAAATACATAGGAATCGGATGGTATATAGGCAAATGCCATAAAATATAATTTTAGGCCTTTGTGATGTCCTCTAATCACACACAACTACTATTGTAAGCTTCATTTGTAATTTTTTCTTACAATATATGAATTTCAGACTGAAGGAGAGGTTGGGTTTTGAACCATCTGATAGACAACTCGCCTCTTCATTAAAAATCTCCTGTAAAAGCCTGCGTGCAAAGCTGTTGGAATGTTCTTTAGCAACAGAGAAACTTGCTATGAGTAATGTTCGTCTTGTCATGTCCATTGCACAAAAATATGATAACATGGGCTCCGACATGGCCGACCTCATTCAGGTAGATCTGCAATTTAATAATTTCTTCTTTCTTCCAAGCTGTTTTCTCTGATATTTTTCCTATTATCACGTGTTCATTGATTCAAATTTTGATTTTGCAGGGTGGTTTGATTGGATTACTTCGCGGCATAGAGAAATTTGATTCCTCCAAAGGCTGCAAAATTTCAACCTATGTATACTGGTGGATCCGACAGGTGTGCTTAATTGTGATAAAAATTTGATTTTTATTCCTCCCAAGGATGTAAAATTTTAATCTTTATATACTGGTGGATCTGCCAGGTCTTGTTAAATTTGATTATAAACCTGGTAAATTTCAAATTTTTATATTTCATATCAAATTATGATGAGAAAATTTTAATTTTTATTCCTCCAAAACGGCAAAAATTTCAACCTAGGTACACTGGTGGATCCGCCAGGTTT